AGCCAGGGAGGATGGACAGGCCAGATAACCTAAAAACTGGAGAGGCCTGCAGGCAGAAGTCCCTGAGTGAATCCTGCTGAATGGTTTAGAAGGTCAGAGAACTGACATGCTTACTGGAATTTATCAGATGGTTCTTTGAGTAGAAATAGGAAAAGAAATCAGATTTGAGTGACCTAATGAGCAAATGGTTGATAAGGAAATGGAAATCTTGAATATAAGCAATCGAGTTTGGTGCTTGTTAGATATATATTTTTTTAATTTTATTTTTAAATTTAAATTTAAATTAGGAACAAGGTTGCTTCACATGTCAATCCCAGGTCCCTCCCCCTTTCCCTCCCCTCCTCCCACTCCTGCTTGTTAGATATTTTTATTTCTTCTTATATAAATGTTTTATTTATCTCTTTTCTTTCTTATATTCAGGTTATATTGGTATAATATGGTTTATGAAATCAATGCCTATCAGAAGGCAGCTATATGACCAATGCCTCAGTGGTACCTATTTATTACAGATTATTTAAGGGGCATATTCTATTTACTGTTGTTGGTGTAATCTTGGTATCAATTGGAGTTCTTCCAACTGTAAAATATACCTCTGTTTGTAACTTAGTTGTGCTGATCTTACATATTAATCTAATTAATAAATATACATTTATATGCCCATGATTAATGTAATTAGAGCCGGCACTGACAGGCCTCATGAGATGGCTTAGCAGCAGGTGGCTACTGAGTTCAGTTCCCTGAATGGGGAGATTCAGGTCCTTTGGCCTCTGTGGGTACCTACTTGTCTCTATATGTGTGTGTCACACACACACACACACACATAAACTTAAAAATAAAGTAAATCTTAAAAATAATGCTGCAACATAGCTTTTGCCATTAACTATTATAAATAAATAATTTTTAGATAGAAATGGATTTTTAAAGCTTTTAAAAAAGAACTACAAGAGAGCCAAAGATTTATAAAATAATATTTCGCCCCAAATAGCCTTATTACTATTTGGTGAATAATTAAATGATATCAAGTGATTGAGCTTATGTTGGCTTAAGTAAATTCATCTTATGGACAAAATAAAGTAGCATATATAACTGGATAATGATAAAGAATGTAACCATATAGAAGTTGGCTATCCCCAAGAGTAGAACAAAACTGGCTCAGGGATCTCAACTCCAATAGATAAAAAGATTTCTAGAAGCATTTGCAAAATCATTATGCCTATATTATTTTTAGCAATAATGTGAAATTTATCATACTTTTAGATCAACTCTTCACTATTTTCTTTATTGTAAGTTTCCATTTGTTCAATTTAATATTAGAAGCACTCCCTAACATTTCATGAAGAGAGAAAATAAGTTCATTTTCACTTATTTGGATAAATACTATTTCTTGGTTCATTTAGCAAATTCTTTCAATAATTATGAATTTTGGTATGTGATGTCTCTGCAAAGAACATGAAGCATCATTTGTTGGGACTCTGCTTTTGGACAGTTACATAAAGCATATGAAATCCTCTCAAGAACTATAAGGAAGAAAAACTGAGCTGAATTTTTAGAGAGTTATTTGAATATTCAGCTCAACCTAGGCTGAGTACCCTGTGATAATCCTTTATCATGTTTTAAAAAACTGTTAGGACTTCTAACTTCATTTCAAAATACACGCCTAGAAAATGGAAGAAAGTTTTTATTTCCTATCTCCCTAAATCAAGTGCTGTATGCAACTACTGAGCAGAAGCCACATTTTAGTGAATCAACTCTTCTCTTAGCAATTGTCCATCTCCTACATTCTCAACTGAAACACAGGCAACAACGAACTTGCTATGTGTTTTCATGCAACGCATGCAGTATAAACAAGTGCTAGATTCCAGCAGTCCTGAAGGCAATCTCAGTCAAACCAGTTCTACAGGCTTCACAGATAACTACTAGGCATGACAGTTTAGAGGCTTGGAGAAGCACCAGTTCTGATCAGACTGAAGCGGTTTAAATCTTTGCTTTTCAGCACGATCTTGGGAAGGTTCAGCATCTTCAAGATGTGTTATAGCCAAATGTTTTATTTCAGAAAGACAAATTTTGAGAGAATGGTAGAGAAAATACAACTTGGTAGTGGCCAGCAATTCTATCTTTAATTTGGGGCCCGGGTGTCAAGATGCTAGTGATGATAGGGAGGAGGCTTTTAGGGCAACCACCAGGCTTTCAGGAATTTTTAATAATGTAGTAAGTACCACACTTCAGTAGAAAGCTAAAACCTGTGATCTCACATTCAAGTCTTTGGTGAACTTATTTACAGAGTGGAAGTCTAAAGCAATCAATTCTGCTAGCACAGAATGGGTTTCAAAGAGACACAATGCTTTTTATTGAATAAATGTGTGACTATTTCCGTCAATTGCTTATTAAGGGAATAACCCTTCTCAAGCCTGAGTTTTCTAGGTGTCACAGGAAGCTTGCAAACATTTGTGCAGTTGAAGGTACGGCAGATGCCTATGTGAAAGCTTGTTCTCCTTCCACACTCAGGGGACCTTTCTAATTTAGGCAAAGAAGCAGATTGAAGCGAGTGTGCTTTCCATGCAGAATGGGGTCCTATAAACCAGATTATGTTATATTAGGGTAGAGAATATTCACCAGGAAACAAGTGGTGTTTCAGTTATATCGGGGTGCTCCACCTTTTCACATTACCATAGGATATTGACAGTCACCCACAAAAGCATTGAGCCACATACACAGCTATCCCGGGGTGCAGGAAGCCCGGGGACCACCAGTGGGACACACCTGGTGATATATTCTTTCATTAATGAGAACCGATTGCAGACTAATTTTGTGGTTGTTTTTAATAAAGCATTCATTATTCAGGAAACTATGCATTCTGTGAAAAAACATATTGTTAGTAATGATGTCAGCTACATGCTGCAGTACATCCATGTGACTGTAACCCGAGAAGTCGTGATGTTCTTGCAACCTCAAAAAGACTAATCTCTCCAAGTTTAACTTATGATAGGGCTGCAAACACCACAGGGACAGTTCTCCCAGTCTGTGTTTGATAAGATATCATTGTTGAAAGGGTCCATGGAGTGACAAAAGAGGATAAGATATCATTGTTGAAAGGGTCCATGGAATGGCAAAAGAGAATGTTAGTCTGTTGTACTCTGACCTAAAAAATGATCTCAAATAGGGTTTTCTTCACATTTATAGTTTTAAGACAAATTTTCTGCTCAAGTAACAGTACTCTTTTAAATAAACAAAAGAGATTTTCAATCCATGAACTAAGCATACTTCAATTTCATAACAGGTTTATACTGTGTTTTGTTTAGAGTCAGTTTTATGTTTCTCATAAAATAAATAAAAAAGAATAAGTAACAAAGTCATATTATTTCAAATCATTCAGTATAATGAAATAGCTTTGCATTATCAGTTATGGCAATGCCAAAGCCATAAAAAATGTTGACTAAATAAAGCTGGAAAAATAAATTCTTTCCTTCTCAGAAACCAATTTTACACACACTAGAATGTCCATCAAGTTGAATGTTGACTTGTTAGCACTTTAAGAAGGTTATGCTCATTCTGTGGCAATATATGCCAACACCCCTTCCTCCATCACAACATTAAAAGATCACATGTGAGAAATTTGCTTAAAAAGAAATCAGAACAAAAAACCAAAGGATGACATGTAAACCTAAGGAAACATTTACTTCTGTCTCTATGGAGAAATGTTAAGGGGGATTCACCTTTCCAAATGTAGCTGATTTTGTCCTGTCTTTGCACTCAATTTCACCCCCAGCATAAATGTGTGTAAGTTCAGAGATGGAGGGAAGGGCATGATACAGGACTGAAAACCTTCAAACAGTGTTTTTGTGCATTCGTTTATCCTAGCTCGATCTTTCCTTCAGGTTACTATTGTGGGCATGACATGAGAAAGAGTCTATAGCTTTGCACTATTAAAACTTCTTGGTTTACTATTTCAGGAAATCAAGAATTGTTCTCATTGTGATAGCTGAGTGTAGTAATGATTAGTATTTATTTATTTCTTTTGATTTAATAATGAGTCTGTTAATGTAAGAAGGCAATCTTTTCACGGAATCTTGAGACTGCTAAAACAGGCATTAAGCCCAAGCAAGTGTCAATCACTGAGCTGAAGGCAGGATGGGCTGTGGACTGTTCATCTTCATTTTAATGTCGGATTTAAGTGTAACCAGTAACAGGGGAGGGTCCATCAGTGTTTCCAGAAGCGTGTAAATTTCCTAAGAGAAAGCTAATACATGGGGAATTTGTAAAAACCTGAATATAATAACAAATAAATTTCAGAATTCCCACCTAAGGTGAACAATCTCTCTCTCTCTCTCTCTGTCTCTCTGTCTCTCTGAGCTATAAAGTAACGTGACGTATCTTATTTTGTAACCACTTAGTTTTTGGGTGTAATGTTTTATATCTTCTGAAAATGCCTTACACCCTTCCAGGCACATGGATCTCCCTTGGATTACTGGATGTTCAGTCTAACCAGGAACATAATGGAAACTGACAAGACTTTTAGCAAGAGATTGCTGCCTCTGTTGGACCCGGAAGGGAGCACAGGAGAGTGCTGGCTTTGGGGCAGATATAGAGAGCAGAAAATGGTTAAAACCAGGACTCCTGAAAAACATCGCAGGGGATGGGAGACACGTTTTGTTTTTTTTCCAGCATAATGACTGACCAACAGAGAAAAAGAAGGCAAAAATTAATTCTACGTGGAACACAAATTCTAAACGATAGTTGCATCATTCTAGCTGATTGCCTACTTGGAATGAAAGACTATTTCACAACAGTCATCTGTCTTCTGCTGTCCCTCTAGATGCCCTATCCCAGGGAGACGGGGCTGGGGTGGAGAGGTAATGGGAGCAGAAACTGGTTTGCAGGTCCTTTACCTTTAAAGAACCCCTTGGGTCATCATCTCTTTTTAGCCACACAGACTGCTTGCCCCATTTTGCTCCCCTCGCCCTGGCCCGCCTCCCCCAATTCTCCTGCTGTCCTCCTCTCACCTGTCCACTGCAATGGCTGTCATAGAGTAGATGCTGGCGAACACTGCTGTGATGGGAAAGAAGTTCTGGAAGCGGCAGTAGTTGGCGCCAAAGTACCACTCGCTGTGCAGAGCATAGATGAAATTGACCAAGGTGTTGAAGGCAGCCATGGAGGCGTCGGAGAAAGCCAGGTTTACCAGGAAATAGTTGGTGACGGTCCTCATGCGCTTGTGGGCCAGGATGATCCAAATAACGATGAGGTTTCCAAAGACTGCCACAGCCACTACCAAGCCATAGGCCAGCGACCAGAGTGCGATCCGCCAGGACGGCTGCACGAACTGATTTGTGAGATTGGCCCGAGCCTGGGAAGGTGCCTGGGATGTCAACGGCAGCCCCAGACCCGAGGAGAAGTTACCAGCCTGGAGCGCAAGCCACTCAGTGACCCCCAGTGCAGTGCTCAGGTTCTCTGCCTGGGTCCCCACTCCTGCCGTCCTGTCGGTCCAGCTCTCTGCGGTGGGGACTGAGGTCATGGCTGGTGTCCGCAGCCCGGGACCTGCCACACTCCCGCCACTAGCAGGAGCCGGCTCCACTCAAGTTCTTCAAGCCCTGGACACGGTGGTCTTGGGCACTGCCTCGTAGAGGGTAGGGAAGTACCCGCTCCAGGGATGCTGTGATGGGGCAGAGACTGTGGAGCAGGAGTCACACTTAGTCCTGGGAGTTTGCGGCTCTGCGGGGGCAGGGAAGAACCAGAGAGACTATTCCCGCTTGGGTCCTGCCAGGAAGGAGCTCCCAGGCAGCAGCTGGAGAGCGGAGATCTGCACTGAAGGTGCGCTTTATAGTCTCCAGGAGTCCCCAGCCTCCGTGACGTCGCGGGTTGCAAGACTGACAAACACCTCCCCTCCCAAACCCCACCCCTGCAAGCTACCGCTCTCGATTCTGCTTCTCCAGCCCACACTCAGGTTTCCTTTATTCTCTGTTTCTCTTTCAGGCAGCTGCCGGCTGATGGCACAGGAGAGACACGCTTTCTCCCCACAATCAAATCTTTCCAATATCGTCTGCCCTCGTTTAACTTTGCTCTCAGAGTTTTCCAGTGAGATGTACTTTCCTAAAACAATTAATTCACCAGAGAGTAGACCACAGGTAAATGTGGGGGGAGTGAGCAGACACTCCGCAGCAGGCAGTGGGTACATATGCTCTGTGTCATGGGCTTCGGATTTAATTCAGCCTTTGGATCCCGTTTATAGATTCAGTCTGAGATTTCCTTTTCTTGCTCCTACTTTCAAGCGTCCACCATTTCCTTTCTTATTCTAACCCTCACTCCTGGAAATCTGCCCGCTCTGCTTTCTCCCCTCAGATGGACTCCCCCACCTCACCCACCCCCGGGATTCTTCTCCCATTAGAAGGAAGGACCCAGCACTCTGAATGTAAACCAGGGATATATTGCAGGTCTCTCTCCAGCACACACCCTCACTGGGCAATGCGAGTGTGCACATGGGCTCCTGTGACTCCAGATGCTTGTGCTCAGGCCTTAAGCATTACTTTGCAAGCAGACCTGCTGGCCTGACTTCTGAGAGACATGAGGACTGTGCCTGGAGAGTGCTTTGTGGTGTGGAAACCACAGGAGGTGGTCTGCAATTATGTGGAAATCACAGGCAACTTTTCAGCAGGTTCCAAGTCAAGATTCCCTTGATTAATCTCTGGGCAGGTGTACAGGGGCTCAGGGATAAGCATATTCTTAATTTTCGGCATACTTAACTCTTTGAAACTCAGTTTTCAATGTGTACATTGACAACCAGCTCTCTAACTGACTGCTGGGTGTGTGGTGTTTCAGCAGTCTTCCTTCAACTCTACAGTGTAGATGGAACACTTGAATCCATGTTAGCCCCCTTTGTAATCACCACTCTGTATCTCTACTTTTTCTGGTGAAATGGATTGAGAAAAAGTAGAGTCAGTGGAACCTGGCTTGTGACTTGGGACATTATGCACTTTTACACGTTCTTCAAAAGCTGAGTGTGGCATTGTACCAATGGACAACTGAAACATAATTAAAAGGGTAATACTAAAAACAGGTTTAGGCAACATGATAGCCATCACATTGACAAAACCCTTTTTCCAAACAAATGCATTTGGGACAGAATAGTTACTAAGTATTATTATTTCTTCTCAGAGTTCCATTAAATTTTGTAATAAGTTATAGCTAAGGCTACTAAAAATTCCACACTTTCTGCTTAATAGGATGGTGACATCTTTTTAAATAGATTTTCTTTTCTCTCTCCATCTCAACAGAGGGTTGTTAGTTGTTGTTTTGGTAAGTATTGACTGTACTTCATCCCACAGGTCATGTCAGGTACTGGGAGTGTAGCATGAAGGCAGCCAGCTATGATGGAGCCTGTAGTCTAGCAGAACATTTTCCTCTGAGACACAGAAAAATGTTTAACAATATGGAAGGGTGCTATAACCACAGGTCTTCTTAGGATTATTTCAATCTATCTTCCTATTTTAGTTTGTGAGGATGGAACAAGTTCTCAAAATATAGAATGTCATAGATGTATGCATACATATACATACATACACACATATAATCACATTAGAAAAGTAAAGCTTATGGGACAGTAGCTAAGGATGATTTCCTGATTAAGAGATTTTGGAGAACAGTTGACTCAAATGGTCAGATTCAAAGTCCTCTGTTATCTGAAGCTACGCACCTGTTTTTTATATACATATATAATGTTCTCCCTTCTCTTTCTATTATCATAGGAACTTCAAAGCTCATAGCTTTCAAAGAACGAATAGAAACAGGAAACAAGTGGTGGAGCATCAGAAGCAAACTATTGAATAGGACCTGGGATTTAAAACCTGTGCATATGTAGACATCACAAGTGGGTACCTCACAACATGATGAGACACGAGGATGTTGGACAACATAGCCAGGGTGGGAGACAGCTTGGCTTCAAAAGTTGGTAGATTTTACCTGTTATCAAACTAAGATTGTTTAATTACATAAGTAGAATGAAACTTTCTATCACTTGTGTGAATATTTATTACTGCTACTGGTTATGCATTTTATTGTGAGGTGTTATATCTAGATGGTATTTCTGCTCCACTCCATTTGCCATCCACATGTTTGCTGAGAATATGCTATGGAAGTGGGATCCAGCTATTTGTTAACCACGGATGAAAGAGAGTGGGTACTTGTCATGTGTTACTGATATGTGAATTTTTATTTTAGCAGGCCTTCCCCAAATAAGCTTAATGAGATGGCATTTCAGGTAATGCTGCTGTCTAGTGGAGGAGAATTTGTCTAAATTCCAGACTCATGTCTCTGTCAATAACCTTCTATTTGACAGCTTTTGCATAAATCTCCTTTTCAGTACATTCAGTTTATTTTCACCATGTTGAAATATTTCTCTTATCCATTTCAGATCCTCAGCATCCTTTGGCCCCCGATTTACATGCTTTTCTCTGCTAGTTCATCAGAATTGTTTTGTATCATTCCATTTCATTTCTAGATTTTGAGTTCTGGGCTGCTATCATGAAGCCAGTGAACACTGCTGGTAGCCAATCTGGTGGTATGAATGAAATGTTTCCTATATCCTCAGACATCTGCATATTTAGTCCTTTGTTGTCATCTCTTTGGGAAGATTTGAGAGGCATGGTCTTGCTGGAGGAATTATGCTACTAGGGCTCTGCTGTAAAGTTTCAAAAGTCACATGTTCTTTCCAGTGTGCGACCTCAGCTTTCTGTTTGCATTTCAAAATGTTAGCTAGCCCTAAGCTCTTGCATTTCAGCCCCTAACTCAGTGTACACCGTCTGCTGACCCCATTATGGACCTAACCCTCTGGAGCTGTATTCCCCAAATAAACTCTTTCTTCTGGAAGTTGCCTTCGCAATGGTGTTTTATTACAGTAATAGAATAGCAGCAAAGATAGCCAGTTGATCAATACAGCTCCATTCACTTGTCCTGACAAGTGCTCCTTAATTTTTTCTCTAATTACCATATTAATCAGCTGTTTAAAACTGAAATTAATTTGCAGGTAAGTGAATGGATCTCAGAAAAAAATCATCCTGGTGGAGGTAAACCAAACCCAGAAAGACAAATATGGTGAGTACTCACTTATGTGTGAGTGTACGAAGAGCTATCACCTCTACAGACTACAGTTCAGGGTACTGGAAAATGCTTTGCATGCTACCAAGGGTAAAAATGCTAACACCAACACAGCTACCCTTCAGTGTGCACGGTGACCTGACTGAAAGACACACTGATGCAATAATGGCACAAAGATTGTGGTGATAACAAACCAATATCTAATTAGATTTAAGGACCACTTCAAAAGATAGAACCCACACCTAACACTGCTTGAGTAGCCAAGAACCTGAAACTAGATTAGCTAGGGACTAAGGATAAGACCAAATACTACTGTTGTGCTAAGGGAGCATAGTAATACAATGACTCCTGCTATAATCATAGAGAAATATAACATTCTTCTATAATCATATGGAAATATTTTGCTCAGCCATCATCAGAAAAATTTCCTTCTGTGGTAGTTGGAAACAAAAACAGAGGCCCACATCTGAACAATGTGCCAAGAGTGAGAGACCTTGGAACTCTCAGCCCTAAATGGGCTGTTTCCATCAATCCCCCCCTCAGGGGTTCAGGAAACTCTGCAGAAAAGAATGCAAAAAGAGTGCAAGCGTTAGAGGAAATGGAGGGTATCAAGGAATCAAGGCATTCTAGACACAAAGGAGCTGGCGCCTACAGAAACTCACAGGGACTGAGGCAGGACTGGACCAGATAGCTGAGATGAAAAGTGGACACACCCACCCACCCCTACCTAAAAGCTTTCTCCAATTGATAACCACTTGAAAATTAAAAATTGGTTTTTCCCAAAGGAATTTCACTGGAGAAACAAACCATTTTTAACACTTACATTTAATTTTTCATCTTTGGCCACTTCTGTCCATCTAAGATGTATTTTTCACTACTTTTTTTCTGCAACCATTTTTCTCTTACAACCATTTCTCTCTTAAACACTTCATTCATTGTTGTCCTTTACTTTTAAAAAGTAACAATTTACTCAAGTAGAAACTTCTTGAAATTATCTTCTCTTAGCAATTAACTTCGTTGATCTTCTATCTTTAAGTGAATTTCTTTTCCTTGTCTTTTTTTGTTTTTTGTTTTTTTGAGACAGAAGTGAATTTCTTTATCAAGATAAATACATTTGTTTTCATTTATATAGACCTCACTCTAAATATTAAGTACTTGTTACTCTTCAAGCAATGCACTTTTCTATCAAATATTTGCATATTAAACCTACTAGTGATGTCACATCTTTGACTTTCTTCATATTTATATTCCTGACATTTCTATTCTTGACATTTAAATTAATTCCCCAAGACAAAGTACCATGAACCAGGTGGCTTAAAATAACAGAAATGTATTCTTTCACAGTCTGAGTGGCTTGTCTGTCTTGTGAGAATCTATTGTGTGTCTGTCTCTGGCCTCCACTGAACTGTTTTCATGTTCTAAGCTTGTAGGAAAACTACTTCAGATATAGGTGCCTCACTGCATGATATTACATAAATCCTTTCAAATACAATGACATTCTTGGAGAAGTCTATGCCTACATGTGGGCATCTTATTCCTTACCCAGGCATCTCTCTTTTATTATCCTTTAAGAAACCCACACTTAAACTCTCAGATGTGACTGAAACTCTCAGATGTGATTTTATTCTTTCTTTCTTCTGTTTTTAATAAAAATTTAATAAAATTGTCCAAATTTTCCCCTCTTATAAGGACAAAATTCATTTGAGCAAAGCCGACCTTGAACCCGGATATCTCACAGTAACATTTCTACAGATTCATTAAAAAGTAAGATCATATTCATTGGTACTGGGAGTTAGGACTTCAACATGAAATTTTGAAGGGAAGAGGGACTCAATTCTATCTATACTAGTCTTCTATTTAGTCCCCTAAAATCCATGTTGTTTACTTGTGCAAAACAGATGCATGTCATACCCGCACATGTCAAAAGCCTTACCAAAACCTCTATCAACCGTTGTTTACATTGCAGACATCCCTGTGCTTCATTATCTAAATGAGGCATGTGTGAGAATATGAATACATATTTCTCATGATGCCAAATTCTTCTTCATTCACAGGTCCTTGAAATGCAAAACCTGCTATCCTTCTTGAAAACAGAATGATAAGACAGGCATAGGCTAGGTATTCCAATCTCAAAAGACTGGCAAGGGAGAGATTAAAATATTGACATCAGTGCAAGGTCAGGTAAACAAAACAAACCTATGATATTTTGTCACCTGATATTTGACATTTGTGGCTTGATGCTCCAACCTCTGGGTCAGTCTTGGCCATATCAGCTCCTGTCTCTTAGACTTCCAAGGCCCTGTTGGTTCTTGTCTCTGGGACTTTTGTGTAAGTCCTTTATTCTTCATGCAAGGTGATGGCTCTGGTCTGCCAAGAAAAGGAGCTGGAAGCCACTCATCAATCAGACATTGGATAGTTTCCCTTTCTATGAAGGATAACCCACGGCTTAAGCTGAGAAGCCATGGAAGGCTTTCTTTGTGTCTTGCTATACAATTTCATAAGTCTAGCAGGTTTTCATTCTACCCTGTCTTTGAAACTTTCCTGCTGAGGTGGTTGATAGGTTACACGTTTCACACACCTGATCTCTGATCTCTACTAAATGTTTTTAACGTTTGATATTTTATTTGGAGCATAGCTCTTTGTACTTTGCAATGTGGACAGATGTAAAAGTCAATAAATATTTCCCAAACTTTGCATTCATTTTAGTTTAGCCCTGCCCTTGATGATATGACAGACTTTCGATATCCCCCCAGAGAGGGCCTCATCCTCCCTGGTAAGTGAAGTAGGAACTGGGTGGGAGTTTGGAAGAGTTGGTGGGGGGCCAAGGGAGGAGGGAAGGGAAAGCAAGCTTGTTTCTAATTTAAATAAAAAAATAGTTCTTCCCTGAAGTTGTCTTATCTCTTGCCTTCTGCTACAAGTAGAAAGGAAAGATTGGGCTCTACTTCCCACCATTAATTTGGAAATATCTTCAGATAAACAAACACATACATCTCTTACAAGTGATTCTTTCTACATAAAAGCAAAACATGGTTTTATCCAGCTCTCTTCCACTTTAGAAGAATCACCTTTACTTCAGTTTCTTTTTTTTTTTTTTTTTTTTTTTTTGGTTTTTACTAGACAGGGTTTCTCTGTATTGTTTTGGAGGCTATCGGTCCAGCCTGGCCTCGAACTCACAGAGATCCGCCTGCCTCTGCCTCCCGAGTGCTGGGATTAAAGGCGTGCGCCACCACTGCCCGGCTTACTTCAGTTTCTAATATCATCTCTCATTGTCTTCTGATACCTACTGAAGTATCCTTCCTTGTGCATAGATGATGGCTATGTTAACTGCAAACTTTAGAGCACTTAGAATCACATGAGAGATGGGCTTCTAGGTAGACCTGTGGGGGATTATCTTGATTATGTTAACTAGGCAGCGAGATACATTTTAACTGAGGGTTATTCCCTGAGCAGGAGTCCTAGACACCACAAAATGGAGAAAGTCAGTATAGCACTATGCATGCATTCATACCTGTCTGCTTCTTGACTGCAGATACAGAGAAATCAGATCCTTCAGGCTCCTGCTGCTTTGCCTTCCCCTTCACAATAGAGTGTACTTTTGAACTGTCAGTCACAATAAACCTTTTCTCCTTCAGCTTCTTTGGTCAAAGCATTTTATCATAGCAACTGAGACTGCATATTTCTAATAGTCTCTTCAAGAAAGGTGAGAAATTTTTGATCACATATTCTAAAACCTTTTTATCATCTAAACATTGCATAATTCCCAAACTACTTCTAGAGATTTTAGGTGTTTGTTACAGAAATACACCACTTTCTCACAATTTTACCCACAAGAGAATTCTTATTGCTTCCTTACTGACACTGTACCCATGAGACTGCGTCTTCTTCCTTTTCCCCAATGTCTAAGAAATATAGTTTTCATCTTTATCTCCTCTATCATTTAAGATTGTTGTTCTCAAAATTGTATGAATTCTTGCTTATATTGCTTTCTTTGTAATGTAGCATGTGCGAATGAATGTCTTTGTTATTAAATGTGAGGTCTATCAAACCTACTTCTGTATTCTCATGTACCCAGATCTCTTATAGAAATCCTCCCTCAGATGTCTTGTCATTTCATTTTCAAGATCTAAATTAAGTCATCTTCAAGGTTTTGCATCTGTTCTTTCTATGTTTGCCATGTTGATAAGGTAATAAATCTAGATGAACTTATTCGAACTAAAATATTGGCAACTGCTTTAGATTCCCTTGTATTTCTTCATTTCCTCTTGTGACACAAATCCAATACTTATTAGTAAAATAGATTTCAAGTTCTTTGTAGTTTTTTATAATCAGTTTTTTCTCATTTTCACCCATGTGCTGGTTGCTTTTTATCCACTTGACACAAACTGAGTCACATATAGGATGAGGATGTCTTAACTGAGAAAATACATTCATAAGATTGGCCTCTAGGCAAGCATGTAGGTAATTTACTTTGTTAATGATTGATGCAAGAAAGCTCAGCTCACCGTGAGCAGTGCCACCTCAGGGAAGATGGTCCTGAATGATGTAAGAGGGCAGGGTGAGTGAGCAAGGCATGAGGCACAATAGAGTCAGCAGCATCCCTCCATCACCTCTGCGTCAGTCTCTGCCTTGGCTTCTCTCAATGGACTGTGCCTCTGCATCTGTATGTCAAATGAATCTTTGCTTCTGGTTATGGTGTTTTATCACAGCAATAAAATCATAACTGTGCTACTTCCA